ACCTTACAAACCTGACCTCAAGATTTGAGACCTCACACTCTAAACACAGATGAAGTATTCAGAGGCCTCATACTCTCAACACTGATTCCACATAACTCAGATTCAAACCTAGGGACCCAGAGATGGTAAATATCTGGGTGGATATAATAGATGTCTTTTCTCCTCCTGGGTTCTTTAAAATATGTTTGACATTTATAAGCAAAATTTATAACATTTTCTGATGCAGTTTTCAATGTATGTAGCTGTAATATACAAGACAACTATAGCATAAAAAGGGGCTAGTCAAGAGGCCTGAAGGTGGCAAGTTTCTACATTCAAACTGAAGTGACAAAACATTGATTCCAAGAAGAATGTGAAAAGTTAAGTATGTATTTTGTAATTCCTAGAGCAACCATGAAAAAACTATATGAAATATACAGTTAAAAATCACAACAAATTTATTAAAATGGAATACTGAGTTTTAAATCACCCAGAACAAAGCAGGAAAGGTTAAACAGGAATGAAAAATGGAGGGAACAAACAGAAAACAATAAAATGGTAGATCTATATCCAAACATATCAATAATACATTAAAATTAAATGGTTTAAACACCAGTTCAAAGACAGAGATTGTCAAAAATAAAAACCATGACCTAACTACATGCTGTCTACAAAGATAAGGATATTGGTAGGATAAAAATAAAAGGATGACTGGTTTCAGTGTAGAAAGAGCATCACTTTCATCCTCACAACAAGAAAAAGGCTGGGCAAACTGGAAATTAAACACTTTTCTTGAAACCACTGATGAGGTACGTTTTCTGGGAAAACGACTAACCTGAAATGTAGAGAGACAGGCCCTGATAGGGAGACACAGAACCTGAGCATTGATTCTCCAGGACAGATGTCTCTGAATGTCAGATAAGCCAGGAAGAAAAGTAAGATGAAATTTTTAACAAACTGCTAAAGGCTGAGTGTAGGCTAGTGTGAGAATGTGAGGCCCTAGAGGCTGCAGACATGGGAATTTCACACCTGCTTGCACGCTTTTTCTGTAGACTGCCACCAGGCATGGACAGGGAAAGCTGGGGAGAATCCTGAGAAGACTGACAGCACCCACTGCTGAAACTCTGCTCAGGACCATCTCTTCAATCTCCCATACAAAACAAAAGCCTTCATTTGTCTGCTGAAGACCATCAAAACCTGTTGCCTGAGGTCACTGGGTGGAAACCCACTGCAGCTGGGAGAAAAACCTGGAGGATTTTTTTTTCCTAAAGAAATAATTAGGGAAGTGGGCAGGGAATGATCCATGAGGACGTTTGCTGCAGCATGGATGATAATTGAGAATGAATGTGGGGGACATATATATGGAAATATATGCACTGAAATGACAAATAGAGGTTTTTAATGAATGCTCAGATTCTAAGTTTGAGTCTTAATTCTCCTCTTTCTGGCTTTATGGATTTTTTTTTTTACAATGAGCGTGAATTACTTTAATCATCATAAAACCTTATTATTCATTAAAAATGCAAATTCAGGTGCTAGCGTGGTATCACTTTCTTCCATCAAAATAGCAGAAAAAGAACTATTGTTATACCCAACAATTGCAAAGGTGGAACAAAACAGGCCTTCTTGTACACAAGCTGGAGAGTGAAATGGTTTTTCACATCTTAGAGTCATCTAGCAATACTCATTAAAAAGACCATGAACAATCAACATAAAACACACACATAGACACATGCCTGCTTAAAACAACCACAAAATCACACGAGTGTTTTACAGCTTTTTTGGTACTATTCAACCATAATGAATGGACATCATTCTATAGCAACACATGTTGATTTATCTAATTCTTCACTGGCTGCAAAACTTCCATTGTTAAGTTTTATTGCAATTCGTATAAGCAAGTACATTACTGACCACACAGGCACTTTTGAGTTTTCACTTCTGCAACTGTTGTGTATTTACTGTAGTCTACTTGGATGAATATACCTTTAGGATGAGTTCCAAAAGGCAGATTGCTGGGAAGGGGTGCTTAGTGCATTACCAATTGAGAGACAAGAATGTTAGGAGTTTCTCAAGGAATCTAAACTGACTCCTTCCCCACCATCTAAAGGGGTGGGGATGGGTTGCACAAGCTGTTGGGGCTCAACAAAGACACCCCCTCACACAGGCCAGCTGCTCTCACTCTCCGAGGCTGGCTGTTGGAATTTCCCCCAACTTCGGCTGAGGGTGGTGGTTGTGGGTAGTAATTCTCCCAGGCCTGGCCCATCCCCAGATCTTCAGGTGCGGTACCCCAGGCCAGAAGAAGGCCAGACAGGGAAGAACAGAGCACTCCCACCACCACTGCCTCCCTCTGGAGCACACACCTGCAAGTCGGTAGGTAACCCTGAATTTTCCCCTCCTCCAGGTATTGGAAATGGGCTGGTTCATCACCCCACCCACCGTCCAGCCACAGCTGCCACCTCCCCCATGGCTTCATGATGGCCTCATATCTGTGCATCCCGCTCCCAGCTGGCCCAGGTCGCATTTCCCACATTTCTCCCATTGGGTTTCTGGAGAGTCTGCACAGAGCTCACCTTCTGCCCATGTGCCACCTGGGCCTTGACCTCGACACCTGCTTTACTTCACACTGGGCACAGTCGCTAGTTCCCACTCTTGATAATCATCTCCAACTGTGGCAAACAGATGACTAAGGGGTCTTTTTTTCTTCTGCTAATGGGAGGAAGGGGAGGGCCGAGGGACAGGAGGGGATGCCTTGTGGCTCCCCTAGCAATACTATTACTGCCAGGTGTTAATTCTACCCAGAGTCAGGTGACCTTGTGCTAAGATTTAAATAATGACAAAGACAGTGGGACTGGCCAATTCTTCAAGACTGAATTATTTGTAAGGAGCCGGTATTACTTGTGCCATAAAACAATATGAAATGATATCTACAACCAACACAACGATACAAACAAGGACTTGGGAGGACCTGATTGTCCTTGGTGAGAGTGCTTGCTCTGCACTAATGCTGCCTGAGGATGAGTTACCTGGGAAGGCTTGTGGCGCTGGGCAAATAGAGGTTTCTTTCTCAGTTCAGGCTCCAAGCTCTCACACAGAAAGGACCCCATCTTCCTTCCAACTTCTTCACAGCGTCCTGGAGAAATCTGATCCTACTCAGAGAACACAGCTGCTGCATATAGACCAAGCACCAAGGTCAGGGAGACAGCTGAGCTGCAAGAGTCTTTCCAGGAGACAACAGGAACTGACTAAGAGCCAGCTGAAAGCACTTTGCATGAGGAGAAACGTGCGACTGAGGTTAGTGCCCATAGTTTATGCTGATTAAAGAATGTGATAACTCAGCCCTTCTCAATAAATCTTTATTTCATGCACATAAAGATCTGAGTTGCAGAAGCAGCCCCTGATTAGGTGTTAAAAGAGGTTATCCCTGATTGGTGAAATCGAGAAAGAATTATATATTTACACTTGGCTCTAAATTGACTCCACTTGGCTCTAAATTGACTCATCTTGTCTGTATGAGAGGATGGGGGAGAGGGAGGGAGAAAGGGAGGGATGTGGCAATTCTATTTCTGCCACAGGGGAATTTTCTAATTCTTCAAAGAATGTGTGTGCCTCTAAAGGTAACCTGCAGGGTTTGGGAACTGCCCTGGACGTGCAAGTACAGAAAGGGTTTTTTTGTAGGGGAGGGGTGCATGGGGGGAGTCGGGAAAGGCAGGGCAAACTCCTCCCTGTCCTGCAGGTACCCACCCACCTTTGTTCGCCCAAAGCAGGAACAGTTGGCTGCTCTCCTTCCCCTCCCCTCCCCTCCCCCTCCCCCTCCCCTCCCCCCTTCCCTGACAGCAGAAAATCAGACCACCTAGGTGATGCCAAAGCCCTGTGCGGTGCACCAGGTGCAGGAGACCTACAACCCTGAGGACTGTATTGTATCTTCTGGGTTACCCTTGGAGAACCAGGTGTCTCTGGAGCTCTGGAAGCTGCTGACTTCAGGAAACAAATCATATTTACTGTCTGAGAGAAGGGTTGGTGATGTGGTAGTGCTGGTAAACTCCAAATCCTCTCACTTCGTTTGGGACCATCCTGCACATACACAATGCTATGCAACCAGCTGTTTCTAGTTAATACCTTAATGTGAGCAGTACCACTATGAAAGCAAACATTCAGCATTAGTTTTGATGGGCAGCCGTATTGCATTTTCAAATGTGCCAACAAGTCTGTGACCATGTTTGTACAAATTAAGCTGCTTTGGAAGTCCCACATATCTAAATCTTTGTTCACATCCAAGACAGTTTCCTTAACACATAAAGTTCTAGAAATAGAATTGCAGGGTCACTGAATGTTTCAAGGCTTAGGCTTTAAGGCTTATATATTGGATTTATCAATGCTTTTTTTTTTTAACATCTTCTGGATCCCTCTCGTGCAGAAAATGGTTTTGCACTCTTTAAGAGCCTAAAAGCCTTCACACATCTCTGGGGAGACTCAAGACTCTCTTGAGAGCCACTGAGGCAGCCACCCTGAGAGGAGAATTTGGAGGGTTCAATCGGCAGGACTGGGAACGTTCTAGATACAGAAGGACTGAAAGATTTTTTGCTGTGGATAAGGAAAGGACAAGCCCCTTTTGGGACTGGGAAGCAACACCCTCTTCCAGGTGGGGCGGGGCTTCTACCTGCTCAGGGAGGAGGGCCCACGTGACACACATATTACTGCGCAGGACCACAGGCGCTATCACACACACCTCAGAGGCTTGGGTTCAGCTGGTGGCGTCGACTCCGCAGAGGTCGTGTTTTGACATCAGCAAAAGGTAGGTACCCTTTCCATTCTCTTTCTGATCCTCCACCAGGCTCGCTGCTGTCTCACAGGTGTAAGTGTGAATATTGAGTGGCTGTGACGGGGAGCCAGTGGGATTCGGGTGGGTGGGTGGCTGCAGCATGATACCTGGCTTCCAAGGAGGAAGGTCCTCGAGGTCGTTGTCTTTTCTCTGTACAAGCATGACGGCTGCTATGGCTCTTTGTGGTGGGGCTGGGACAAGGGAGGATGGTGGGCAGTGGAGCGGAGGGTGTCAGATGAAGATGGGGTGACTCTTGCGGAGTGTTATATGAGGTATCCGAGCCCTGGAGGCACCAGGAACTGCCGACAGACCACAGATCCTGGGGTCCTCTGGGGTCCGGTGAAGGGCGGGGAAACCGGCCCACAACAGCACAGGCGAGACCCAGTGCGCATGCCCGGGTCTGGGTGCCTTTCCATCGTCGCTCGCGTACAGCGTGTGCAACGCGTTCTGGGTGCCGAGCTGCGCACATCGCGTCTCACCATCTGGGCTGTTTCTACTTGGCTGCGATCTCCTGGTAGGTCCACAGATCCGTCCTTCTGGGAGTATAAATGTACATTCGTGTGAGGTGGTGGCCAGCGGGCTTTGGGCGGGTCGGGCAGTGCGATCTGTGTCCTCTGAAGAGGAGGGTCCTCGAGGTCATCGTCCTCCTCATAGGCGTCTTGGCCACCTTGGCTCTCAAGGTGGCAGTGGGAAAGATGGGATGGTGGGAGGCAGGGGGCAGGGGGTCAGGTGAAGATGAGGTGAGTCTTGGGGGCGCTGTTGGTGCTATCTGGAGGCCCTGGAACTGCCGACAGAAGAGGGGATCCGGAGTCGGCAGTGGGGAGGTGGACCTGGTTATATTTTACAAAAATCTCTCCATATTGGAGAGTCCGGAAGTGAGACTGAATCTCTAGGAAAGTCTTACTTTTTTTTTAATCAAGTGCTCTGCCAGGTTGGCTGTGAAACAAAGGGGTTTTCAGATAGCCTTATTTGATGCGATTGGAAAGTAGGCAGTTATTATTAATTCAAGATTATTTTGGAAATCTCTCCAGATGTAAAAAAGAATTTCCAATCAGCAGTTGGCCATGGAAATGGTCCAGTATAGTCTTTTTGTTTGTTTGTTTGTTTTAATTACATTCTCCAGTTCACCATTTTCTACTTTCAGTGTGAAACATGAGTGCACGAGTGAGATCAAGATCTAGAGGAAGGGGAGATGGTCAAGAGTCTTCCAATCTGGTTGAACCTGTGGTTGTGAGTGCTTTAACATCCTACTTTCATTGGCAGAAATTAATAAAAGAAAATCAAAAAAGTGGTTGAACCAATATATATCTGTTGTATAAAGGACTTCCTTGCTGAGAATGGGTGAGAAATGAATCTCATGACTGAGACATTGAGTGAGGAGACTTAGTTTCTGGAATTGCCTGGAGATATATATATATATCTATATATATATATATCTATATATATATATATAGATATATATATATATTGTCAGGAGCCTGGAAATCGTCCTTATGACTTCCCTATTGTGCTTATTAATAAGCAGATAACACACATCCCAGAAAAGATTAAAATGGTTTCCAGAATTATTGGTCCTTGCAGATAACTCCTTTCTTAGAGTATTTTTTATATAGGAAGAATAACTTTATTAAGAGCGTTTACAGAGAAGAGTATAGGAAAAGCCTCTTCAGATTGGTGATTAGTTACTTCCATTTAGTATGTGTATTTGTACCTTCTCTTGTCATAGTATTAATAACAGTGCTTTTTATTTGCACCTACCCTCCCCCAAGACCCCGAAACCAGGTGGCAAAAAAGCTGAACAAGAGGAACCACCAACTGAGAATCTGGACTTCGAATCTGGACAAGAGAAAGAAGAAGGAACATCTGTGGTTCAAGGTGAAAAGTGGATGGAGGGATAATCTATATTTCATTTGTGATGTTATACTAGTAACAGGTATAAAGGGTTCCCTGAAAATTGGCTGAAAACCTATGTGGTAATGGAAAGGTGTAGTTTGCAGCTAACTGCATTCCCTCTCTGTGATAAGTTTTCCCTCTTTCAGCATTTTACCCATCCATGTTTTAAACTGTTTGGAGTGCTTGGAAAATACAGTCCTTGTGAAGGCTCTAAAATAGCAAATCAAAGGAAGCAACATTAAATTTAGGCAAAATTATACACTATTTTCCTAGTTAAACTTGGTCTTCTTGGAATATTGTTTTCAGGGCTTCTTGAGTCATTGCATCAAAAGTTTAAGGAAGCCTAGATATATTTTGGTTAGATCTTAGGTTGTAATTAAAATTTTTTTTCATAACAGAGAAATAAAAAATGTGAAATCTTTTCCTGGCTGCTGTTAAAATTAATATTTTTGTCTTCCTGAACCAAAATCAGTTTATCACATATTCTTTTTTTTAAACTTTTTTACTTAGAAAATTTTAAAACATACAGAAAAGTTATAAGAAAGCACAATGTACTTCTGTATCCTCTTTACCTTGATTCACCAGTTGCTAATAGTTTGTCATATAGTTGCCCTCTCGAAGTGTTAATACACATATTATTATTGCTAAAGCACTTGAGAGTAAATTTCAAATGCAACTCTTTCCTAAGTAATTCAGCATCTCCTAAAAACAAGGATATTCTCTTACATAACCTAGTACAGTGATCAGATTCAGGATATTTAACATTGATACAATTTGATTATCTAATACGTAGTCAATTGGCCTAGTAATATTTTTATAGCGTTATTTTTTCCTGATACAGGATCCAATCCAAGACCACCCATTGCATTTAGTTGTCATCTCTCTTTGGACTCCTTTAATCTGGAAGTGTTCCTCAGGCTTGTCTTTCATGATTGACATCTTTTGGAGTCCAAGCCAGTTGTTTTGTAAAATGTTCCTCAGTGTAGGTTTGTCTCATCTTACGATTTTCTGTCTTGAGTTCACAATCTTGTCAGAGGGTAAACAAATAGCTGATCTAATGAGGTAAGTGGAATAGCAGAAGTGTATATAGGTCACAAAGGTGACAACTAAGTTTGTTTTAAACAGTTTTAGAAAGAAAACCCCACATTTTGTAGAGGGGTAATATACGAGAAACACAACTTCTCCATTTCTATCAAAAGCTCTTTAGTTCTCATTGCATTTTTATGCATCACATTTATTACAATGTTAACCTACAGAGCTTTATTAATAACATTGATTTATGGTTTACTGCTTTTATTAATAACTCTCTATTTATGAACCTGGATTGGAAGGTTCAAGCCAGGAAGTGGGTCTGGAAAAGACTGGGGATGAGCGTGGAGATGGCCCTGATGTGAAAGGGAAGATTCCACCTAATCCAGAGCCTGCTAAAATTCCGGAAGCAGGTATGTTATCTTTTAAGAATGCAAGTCATGTAGTTGTTCTTTTCTACAACATTATTATACTTTCATAACAAATCCCACATACAAAGATTATTTGAAAAAGTAGTTCAGACACCAAATGCTTGATTCAAAGACAGTATCAGGGAAAAGTGGATTAAGTCAAGTCCATGTTGTTGAATTATAAAACATGAAAGTATTAGTACTTTGGAGTAGAAGTCCTTTAAAACCTAAGGAAAGTGATCAGATACTTTTTAAAGTACATAAATTATTTAACAAACCCCAGTGCTAATTGGCTATCTAAACAATACAGTAGTGTTGATTTTTTTTTAATTTGCCAGAACTTGTTCTCAAAAATCATTTCATCTTTTAGATTCCAAAAAATAATACGGATCTGTATGTTTTGGCTTTTCTGGGTTGGTTAGTTGGTTTTTTTTTTTTTAAATTGTGAGCCAGGCTGAGAAATGGTAGTATTTTCTCTCACATTTTAATGTCATCTCTGATGGTAGTGGCTTAAAACTGGTGTGACCATGTAATTTTTATCATCCAAACTGGGATAATCTGGAGAGTTCAAGGGGGTGCCCTGACTACTTACACCAGGACAACTAGTGCGAATGGAACAAATGGCCACCCTGCTATAAATAGGCCATATAAAGGTTGCACTAGATCAATGCAGTATTTTTGTACAAAAGAGCAAAACCAAATGGGATGCTGTTCTTTGCCCTCTCTTTAAACAGTTCCAAGTATGGTATTATTTTAGCTAATATGTATAATTAGAAAAATATTCAAAATTAATGCATTTGAGTTAACACTGAGATTGCTTGCTTGTTTTTTTTTTTTTTGCTTCTTGGAGTTTTTGATTGATTTTATTTTAACTAAAATTACTGACAGTTTTTGCTCTCTACTTAAATTTTCTTTAAATAGACTCATAGGTTTTAATCTGTTCTAGGTTTGATAAATCTATGTTTCTTCATACCACCAAAAAGAATGATGCCCTGAAAAATTAGTGCTCACGTGCCTGAAAATGTACATTAGCATAGAAGCCCGTGCAGTAGTTAGAATTCTGGTTTTAGTTTCATCTTATAAAACCAAAACTGTATTGTTCTTTGTGTACCTTTATTGTCATTTAAGTGAATTTCTGCTAAGTGATGTACAACTGTTATGTTTATGTTTTAGGTGATGGACAATAATAAGTTAAAAAGAAGAGAAGCTGAAGCCATGCATGCTGTCATTATCTTGATAATTTAGCTTGTTAGATTCTCTCAATAAAGATTTAGTTTTCTTGGGGCGTCATGCACATCTTTGGTTCAGTCTGTTCCTATATTCCCTGTGTCATACAATATATCCATGTAGCTTATTTTATACCTATTAGTTTGTTCCTCTTAATCCCCTACCCCTATATCACCCCTCCCCCTTCCCTCTCCCCACTGGTAACCAGTAATTTGTTCTCTGTATCTGTGAATTTTTTTTGTTAAATTCACTAGTTTGTTGTATTTTTTAGATTTCACTTATAAGTGAGATCATACAGTATTTATCTTTCTCTAACTTATTTCACTTAGCATAATACCTTCCAAGTCTGTCCATGTTGCTGCAAATGGCAAAATTTCCCTTTTTATGGCTGAGTAGTATTCCATTGTATGTGTGTGTGTATATGTATGTATTTGTATACACACACACCCCCCATTTCTTTATTCATTCATGTTGATGGACACTTAGGTTGCTCCCATATCTTGGCAATTGTAAATAATGCTGCTGTGAACATTGGAGTGCACGTATCTTCTGGAGTTAGAGTTTTTTCCGGATATATGCCCAGGAGTGGGATTGCTGGATCATATAGTAACTCTAGTTTTTAAAGGAATCTCCATACTGTTTTCCATAGTGGCTGCACCAAGTTACATTCCCACCAACAGTGCACAAGTGTTCCCTTTTCTTCACATCCTCACCAGCATTTGTTTTTTGAAAATGGTCTTTTTGATGACAGCCATTCTGACATGTGTGAGGTGATACTTGTTTTGATTTGCATTTCCCTGATGATTAGAGATGTTGAGCATTTTTTTCATGTGCCTACTAGCCATCTGAATGTCTTTTATGGAGAATTGTCTATTCAGGTCTGTCCATTCTTTAGTCAGGTTGTTTGTATTTTTTGATGAGATGTAGGAGCAGTTTATATATTTTGGATATTAACCCCTTTTCAGTAATACCATTTGAAAATATTTTCTCCCATTCCATAGGTTGTCAAAATGTATTTTGAGGAGTTTTAATGGTAAACAGGAAGGAAATGGAAGTTTAGCTAAGAGGCCGGCATGAGGTCAAGGGGAGGATTATTTTTTGATAGTGATATTAAGGCATGTTTGTGTACTGATGAGAATGGTCCAGTGGATTAAAGAGTTTGATAAGGCCATAGGGGTGGGATCCAAGCACAATTGGAGGGGATGGCCTTGGATAGGAATAGGGACACCTTTCCATAGTAATGTGGGAAGGTGATGTAAATTTCTGATTGGAGGAATGGATTAAGATTAGAAAGCAGACAGGAGGACTGCATTTTCCTTTATGCCCGTCCATGATTTTTGAATTTTGACTATGACTATATCTGTTTCTCTAAAATCATAAAGAGCAGTTATTAAATTTAAAATATTTTCAGAGAAGCTTATGGTCACAACCCTGCAGACGTCTCGTGTTCTGAGATGCACATGAGTCCCTATCATGAGAAAGCAGCTCTCACTTGATTTCCTTTTTCGGTCAGGGTGCCCCCAGGCCTGAGGAACAGACATGGAGACATTCTACCAGGGTCACATTAAGATCCTCAGAGGCTCTAAGTCTCAGGAAGATTATGGAGTACCTCCATTTCAATGTGCCATGTATATTTCATGATAAAAATCAATGGTAAAGTTTCAAAAATTTCCCCATGTTGATTTTGCTGTTTCTCTGAGTACCAAATTCACATGTTAAATGTTTAGACAATCTCTTTCTTATTGCTGGGGACCCCATTTCCTGCTAGTGACCTTAACACTTGCTTAGTAGGCCTTTAGGGTCAACCTAGCACGGATTCTGGTCATGCTTTCAGGCTTTTATCTCTCCCAGTCCATCACCAGGTACTGGACTGCTACAGGATACAAGAAAATCTAATACCACCTGGACACTATGCTCAGTTTACACAGCTGTCTTCTGGGGGCAGGAGAGAGATATCGGATGGGAAATGTCAGCTAAATTAGGTGCCTCATGACAGCAGGGGACCAATTTTAATGTTTCACTGCAGGCCACAAAGGGATGGCATTTATTGGAAAGATGCTGGGGTGCATCAGGAATTGAAGTGAGAGTTGGTTTAGGAAGGGAAGGCACCAGGGCAGCTCTGGGGACCTCAGCTGTAGTGGTTCTGCCCCTCCTGTCCTGTGTGGAACAGAACCCCAGAGCTTGGAGGATATGGACCCCCACCCCTGGTCTATCTACTTCACCTGAGGGGCGGCAACCTTCCCTGCACTCTGGGAGAACCAGCCAGAGGCAACCTGTTGGGAACCAGCAA